TTTTCTATATTCAGGCTAAACGGCAAGATGCTGTTAAGTTATTCTTTGAATTATTAGTTTTGAACACTAAAGATGTTGCTAGATATTTTTTTCTTTTTTTTTTTTTTTGCAAAAAGTAAAAAAGATTATGATTTTTAAATATGAAATTTAAATAATGAATGTTATTAAAACTAATTCAAACTAGAGGGCAAGGAAAATGATAGGGGCATAACAGAATTTTAACTGCTATTACAATTTTCAGGATTTTATAAAAATTTATTATCATACAAAAGATGTGTAACAAACATAAAATTTGTTTAATTTTATATCAAGTATGCGTACAAGTTTTTACAAGTTTTTAATTAAAAACGTTAGAATGTTAAATAACGAAACAAGAAAAACACTTGAAAGGACAATAAATCATAATTATCTACATGATAACTTAGTTTTCTAGAAAAGCAAAAATGGAAATTATAATTATACAATTATAAATTTAGGTTCACTTCCTCCAAAACCAAATCTTAAATATACGCAATGTCCAGGACAATATCCTATCCCTAACAAATATCAAATAGAAGCCTTTTGGGGGCGTAATAAAAAAAATCATGTTCAAACATCTATTGATTATGTTGAAGGGATTCCATATTTTAAGATTGAATGGATACATAATGAACAAAACTATATAATAGTTTCACAAATCTCTCCTTCGGATGCATCTAATAAATATTGTAATATATAATATTCAGAAAGAAAAACAGCAATTTCTGGAATACTTGTTTTTGGGCTACAATTGTATGAAGAATTAACTAAAGCCATGCCAAAAAAAAGTCAACCATGATATATTAAACCTCTTAGTGATCTTAGTAATTCTTCGCATAGAAATAAAATTAAAAAAGTGAGTAAAAGTTTATTCAATGATTTTAAGAAAAAAAAATTAAAAATTTGGCATCCTGTAGATAATTCTAAACTCAAAGAATTAGTATTAGAAGTAGATGAACAACTATAGTTAATAAAGTTTGAAGAAGATTAACAATTAGAAGAGAAAAAAGTACAAATAATGGATCAATCTAATATTTCAAGAAGAGGATATAGAGCTTTGACAACTGCTTTACAGGATTTGCCAAAAGAATAGCTAGTTAGTAAAGAAAAAATAATGTAAATAAAATAATGCAAAATCACATTCCATTGCTAGTATTTGATATGAATACATAAACAAATAGTAATTCAGATAGTGAAAGTAACTCAGATAGTGAAAGTGACTCAGATAGTGGAAGTGATTTGAACAATAAAGTAATTGTAACCACATTAGAAAAAAGTGCTTATCATAATATATCTGCAATTCTTCAGTTTATCATTCTAAAACTTGAAGCAAATAAAGTTCTCAGCTATAAAACCTCTATAATATATTTGAGAATCTCAGGCGATAGAAGAAATGTTGAAAGAAAAATAAAACACATGATGGTAACTCTAGCAATTCTTAATAACCAAAAAAATCTAATGAAACCAGAAAGGCATTATACAATTTTATTATTTTCTGAAACTAAAAATTATACTTCACTCAAAACCGCTTTAGAGCCAATTCATCATGAATTACGAGAATTGTATGAAAATGGTTTTATTGATACTGATTATAGACAATGAGAGATTGAAGTTTTTTTTTCATTTGATTAGAAATTTCTGGCAATAATATTAGGTTTTAATGCACCTAATACATTTAATTTTTGCCCTTGGTATTTTTGTACTAAAGATTTAATAAGTGACTTAAACCAAAATTAGCTAATAACAAAAAAAATCGATCAAATCAAAAAAGATTATTAAAAGTTCACAGGTTATATTTATTCACCTATCTTAGATATAATTTCAATGACATATTATGTAGTAGATCAACTGTACCTAATGTTACGTATAACTGATTGTTTATAGGAGATGACTCTAAATAAATGCAAAAATAATAGTCATTTCATAGATGAAATGAGAGAGTTAATATGCAATGAAATGAGGGTTATTGGTGTAAAATTTAATTTCTAGAAAGATCAAGAGACGAAAAAGTAGAAATTTACCTCTTTAATAGGTCTGAACAAATTAAAAGTAATAGAAAACTTTAATCTAAGTATAATGTTATCACAAGTATATGCTACAAAAGTTCGAAAACTTTGGTCAGGATTTAGTAAACTTTATAAAATACTAGGTCAGAATAAATTAACAGAAAATATATTCTGTATCAAAGCTCATAAATGGCTAAGTATATTTTTAACACCTTTCAAATTATTTCTAGCACTAATACAATAGATAAAGGATTATACACATCAAGTGATATAACTCCTTATATATATGTTCTAATCTATTATGTTCTAGAATTTCTAGATATTCATTTACAATAGGGACTTGGTACATTTTCTTGCCAGCTAGTTGAAAAGAAAAACTATCAACATGTATCAACTTTTTTTTCAAAAACTTTAAAAAATAGTGCGCAAAAATCTGCTATTTTAGAAATATTAGAAATAAAAAATAGAGCATTATATTTTTGGCGATTTGAAGAAGTTTTAGTATTACTAAAATATAAGAAAATTAATGTCAAAGGTTTCAATAAAATTGAATAATATTTTATTCTATAAGATTAATAGAATATTTTTTGAAATTAGATGCTATTTCAGCAAAAATAATAAAACATTTATATATAATTACTAGTTATCATTTAATTTTTATATTAAGTTTTATTAACTTATTAAGAATTTAAAATTATAAGAAATTTTATAGTTAGGTCTGGTGATCTTAATGTAGTGGTTAGGTTGCCAGACTGCCATACAAGAGGTCTGGAGCTCAAATTCTACTATCAACGAATTTGAATAATTACTCGGACCTTTATACTCAACTTACAGTAAACCCTGTTCGTTTCTAGAGTTGTAACTCTGTAAATTAAGTTGTACCAAGTTACTTGAATATTGGAAGTATAGCGTAATGTTACATGAAGAAATCTTGATAGGATCTATAAGCAGGGGATCTGCATAGTAGAAACTCTGAGTAGGTGAAGTAGTACGGCTTTTGACGATCAAGCTAGTTAATGCTTGATCTGATAAGAAACACCGCTGAGAAAGGCATGGATTGGGATAGGTGTGAGTAAGTCTGGTCTGTGGTAAAGATTAGCAACACCAACCTGGCTTGGTGGCTAACTGGATTTGGGAGGATCTGTCTCATAAAATGTCCTAAGAGGGAGAATACAGACACCAGTAGAGAGCTACAGCAGAAACTAGAGTTGTATGAACATCTACAAAGGTCTAAGCTAGATGAATTCATGAAATAGACATGGACCACTCTAGTAGGTATGCTTTCAAGGTTAACTGGAGCTCTGTAGCTCATAATACATTGGGCATACGCATCCCGAGAGGACCTAAGCTATGTAGTAAATAGATCTACAGATGAGCCAGCTAGCT